CCAGACTCTCCATAAGTACTTGCCTGCGGAAACAAAATACCTCTCTGTCCCGGTAGAAGTCATTGCACTCCCCGTTATAATACTGATCAAGGTATTTGTCACCAAGGGTGAGGGAGACCTCTGTGTCATCGAGCCCGTTGAAACGTTCTTTTGCCGTTCGAGCAGCTTCTACGGAAAGGCGGGCCACCTCCCCAGACCCGAGAGGCAGGCCAAGGGAATCACGCAGGTGCTGCAATAACCGTTGCTCGACGAAAGGGTTAGCACAATCAGCGGTGCTATCCTGGGCAACCTGGCGAAAGGACATCTGCCAGCCGTGGAATGGATGCGCCGCCGTGATTTCGAAGGTAGCAAAATCCTGCTTCTATTTAGCCTCTGGCCAATCAACCACTTATCGGACTATCATGAACCACTTACAGTAGTCGCCCCACCGACATCGCACACAAGGAGCCTGTCCCCTACCTTGGCGACGTCGGCTCTGATTCTGTATGACACGGCGATAGCAGCGGCCATCGCCTCGGAACAGTAGAATATGGCCCCGTCGTTGTCGAGGTAGCCGGCACCCTCTACAGCCGACCTCATGGTGCGGACCCCTTCCGCCGTCCAACAAGCTGGCATCGAAAAGTGCCAGTCTATGTGCGGTAGGTTCTGGGCTCGTTGCAGTTGCCTGACGTTCTCATCCCTGCAGAAGGCTTCACGTATGAACGTTAAATATTCACGTATCACACGTTCTACCTGCCTACGATCCCTCCTCTTGAAGCCTTCATCCCCGAGAAGAGCCTTGAGGTCGAGGCTATCGACAGGTACAACCGGCGCACCCTCTACACACAATTTCGTCCACGAGACCCGGTTGCGGTCTCGTACCGCCGAGTGTCCCCAAGACGACGCCCTGTTATTCTTGAAAGCCAACACCGAGGGAGTCACCGGATCGTCATCTGGAGCATCTGGCGGCGACCACTCGCAGACTGCCCCTTGGTTTGGGTCCCAATAGGTCAGAACTAGAAAGGATGCACTGATTAGCCTCCTAGATGACAAAGAACAGAAAGTATGGGGAAACAAAGGCGAATAGGAAGAAAAATGGGTTCACTTGCCCGTCTTCGTGACGCCATGATCGACACCCACAGCCAGTCTATTCGGGTTCGCCATAGTCTGGCCAGGGTGTTACGGGTAGGATTGAAGTTGTGTAATTGGTCATCAAGCACAGGAACAAATGTGGACGAGGCCGCAATGAGATTGTAATAAATGGAACTATGAGCTGAGGAGGGAAGCGCCCTGGGCATGCTCTTTTTATAGTATCCAGTTCTCTCGGACTCTGTTTAGACAGCATAGCATTTTACAACAGAATGAGCCAGAAACCAATACAGCTCATTAGCCATGTCCTTCACTGTCTCTGTATCTCTCTCTCTTCTCCCTATGTCTCTGATGTCGTCGTGTTGGTCTTTCGGGCTCTGTTTCCGCCATCTGGTGTATAGACTTTCCCGGCTACGCCCCGAATGGGTCCCGAACAAAGAAGGTTTACCCACCTGAAACCTTTTGAAGGTTCAATAACGGAACTAGAGGCGCAGTCTAGAATGGGGCGGAATGGAATCCAGAAAAGCAGATAAGGCAACTGGTGAAGTCGGTGACATATTGATTGACAAATGAGTCTCCTCTGACAATGGAAAATAAACCAAAAATAGTACACTCAAAACAAAGCAACCAGGGGAGGTAGAAATCAACAAAAATACGTTTCCAAAGGTAAATAAAAGTAAGTGCCCTTCCGAAAGCTGGAAAGGACATCAGCAATACCAAATAATACAGGTTCTTTTCCCTTGAACCCCAGCCACGCTACTTAGGTTCTTTCTTCAATTTACCGTCTTGTTCTATTATTTTCTGTTATATACCTGTCTCCCCCTCCCCTCTCCCTCACTTTTCTTGTCCTGTGCTGAAAGTCTGTCTGAACTCACTTTGACTCAACTCGGCATCTCTTCTCAGACCCCACTTCATTTGTCAGTTGCCAGTGTTCGGTTTTCTATTCTATTTCCTGTCCTTGCTTTTTCCTGGTTTTCTGTTGCTTTGCCGCCACAACCATGGTCACAACTCGTAACACCAAGGTGCTCAAGCGTGTTAGGAACGACGCCGAGTCGTCCGACTCAGACAGCGGGGCTTCCAGCAACTCAGGCGACGAGACTGCCGGCAACCCAGGCTCAGCCCACATCTATGGCCATGACACCTATTTCTGCACACGGGATGAATTCCATGACGTCTTGAACCACTTGAATGACATGCAACGCCAACCTTTCTTCAGACGAGCCTATCCTTCTATGATGCGAGATATGTTCAACAAACTGCACGTCGGGGTGATGAGTTGGACTTGGAATTGGGGTCGAGATGAAAAGGTAGCGCATCTCTCGGAAGATGAGAAACAGTGCATCATCGCCAGCCTCGAGGGCCAGTGTGTCCAGGACGATTGGGATAGTATCAAAGCTCTATGCCCCCTGGTTGTTCGTGATCATATGTGTCATGTTCTACTCGAAGCAATGCTCTACCGATTCATCTTTGCAACCTTTATCGAATCTCCCTTTTGGTTCTTGGATGGCAGGATCGATCCTACCGACGTAGAGGGTGATCCTCAGTTTCCCCGACGGTTCCAGCATTTGTATGAGAGGCTGCGGGCAGCATCCGGCTTTGGTGCAGCATGCTTGAAATCATCGATCATATCGGAGTCCAACGACATGCCTCTCCTCTCCTCCATGCCTCCTGACACGGAAATCGCCCAGGTCACTTTAGACCGCCGCAAGACATTGATCAATGTGTTCACAGATGAACTGCTTGAGCGCCGCGTCTTCCAGCTTCTTCTCCGCCCATTGGATGATGACGCTGAGGTAGCACGCCGCCGCCATAGGCTTCACCGTCTCCTCGGAGAAGCAGTTGAGACGATTATCTACACCGAGGGGGGGATCTACGGCAACTCCATGATATTCCGACTACCTGAGCTGCCCGTCTTCGATTACGAGGATGAACGCATGACCTCGCACCACTATCACTTCGTCAATACGCGCCGCATTCATGGCAACGCACCTGCCTCGGGGGGTCGCACCCTCATCGTTGCTCGCCCCGGACTCACCTATGTCGACATGCAATCGCTTGGCAAAGTTGCGAGGCGCCCGCCTTGCCAAATGTTCCCGGCGGAAGTGGTGGCCGAGGCACTCCCAGAGAAGCCCTGTACCAAGCCCAAGGCGAAGTCCAGAAAGACGAAGTCCAGGAATAAAAAGCCCAAGACGGACTCCAAACCCGATTCCAAGTCTGCGGTCTCCGAGACCCCGTCTGTGTCTCAGGTAGCCAACGTACCCGATGCTGAGAACGATCCCAAGGAGGAAAGGGTGGAGAAGGCGAAAACCCCCCCTCTGGAACACCTGGTGCCGCGGCTAAGGAAGACATTCTGGCGGGAGTGAACGATATGCATGGGCTGGTTGTTCTTTCCACCCAGCCCATCTATCTGTCTCCTAACAAAAGAGCCTTCCATTTTTTTTCCCGGGTAATTGTGTAGAGACCCAGTTTGCTATTACTATTGTATTGCTTCTTTTGATTATTACTTGATGTTTTTAATTTACTCATTATTGAGAGCCGCCCAGTTCAAGGTTAGGGGCTGTGTGTGTGTGTGTGTGTGTGTGTGTGTGTGTGTGTGTAATTTGAGTATTATTGACCTAGTTGCTGGTTTTGTAGTGAATTTGATCGCTTAACTATGATGGTATAGGATACCAAATGGCCATTTCACTCCCAATCTTTTGCTGGCATGGGCTCTGTTCCTTGATCGGGATATTGACGGCTGGAATCAGAATCAGTACACAAGTCCCCGGCCTGCTTCAGACAGTATCAATACCATCAAGTCAGAGTATATCCTTGATTAATTCCGAGATCTAACAGGTCATATCGGTCATATCAACTCATCTCCGTGTAAGTTGAAACTCTCCGTATTCCGTTGCCCTCCATGGTAGACCAGCAACTTTAACCTACTCTAATGCATCTTCTCCGGTGGGACTGACACATTCCTGTCCTTTTCCTCTCTATTTTGTTGCATTTTATGTTATTTTCTTCTTCTCCCCTGTCTGGACCTCTCTGGCCAGCCCACGGTCGGGGTTCTAGTCCCACGGCCCGTGTTTGGATCAAGGTCCATTGGCTTCTGTGTCAGCCACTTGTAATAGTCCAGTTGTGAATTAGCCATCGGCAACACTGCTTCCGGTCCGGCATGCTTGATTGATGAGGGAAAACACATCTAGAACCGGCCAGCCGCCCCATTAGTATCGGAGAGTTTGGATCTCCGCTCATTGATTCCTCCGAAGATAGTGGAGGGTGGCATGCTTTTCCTTGCAAAGTTACCATCACCTGAATCAGGGGGCGGTGTTGTGGTCGTCAGGTCTGCTACATGTCCGTACACTACACCGTCGGGCACGCCACGAGGTCCGGCCTATGATGATCTAGACGACGCGGTCGGGAGGTTTCATCCGGAGGACAACAAGCTGGCTGAGAGGGACGCACTGCAGCCACAGGTCAATAAGTGTGATGTTGACCTTTCGGGGGAATAGAGATGCGGGACGCCACCCTCGTAACTGGTATCGCGGGTCTCACCGAACGGCAAGAGAGTGAGGGGCCAGGCAGTACCACTGGTATGAAGAACCAGCTGTGTGACCCTGGGGAAGCTGTTTCCCGTGCCGACAAGGTTTGGCTGATACTGCGGCGTTTGTGCTATTGCCCGTGGACATTCGTGGGTGGCTTGACTTGCTCGTGAGTGACGATGGACCGATCAGCCGTCTCGTCTGAGGCGAAACCGGATAGGGGCAACGGTCAGCAGCACTGAGGCCAAGGAGGCTGTTCATCTCGTTTCTCGTATATGTCTCTGACTAGGATTAGGCCGCAGACAAATGAAGGTGGATGAAGGATGGAAGTTCTGGGAGAGAGGTGAAAAGTCTGTGACAGCGCTATCATACTGCATCGCTCTGGCTTGCTGCTGATGCAAGCGAGATTCACTTTCAACCTAGTACGAGCTCAATAGCTCCATCTCCGACAGTTGTTTCCTTTGTCGGAACGGGGAATCATACCGGTCTCCTCATGACGACGTGTCCTACTTTGATGAGAGTTTCTCGGTGTGCCTTCCCGGCTGTTCCCATTGACACCGAGGCAGCATCTATCGATCATGTTAAGAGATCCAGCAATCCCAGCTTCGCCATGAGAGACATTCAGAGAGGGGAAAGAGAGACCAGCGCTAGTCCTTCCGGGATGAGGTAGCGAAGTGTGATGGGGGAGGAGGAGAGGCGACCGAAGGGGATCCGACATCATCGAAGTTGATCACCATATCCTCCACACGAAGTGAGGCTTCCTCCCTCCCTACCCCCACCCGCCGGCTGCTACCTCACGGCTGAAAACTATTAGATGGACGTGTTTTACCATTCTTTACCGCGTTCATGTCATGTGTGTGTTTCGGGGGATGAATGTCCAGTCAATCGACGGAGATCCTCCAGTCAGTCGGTGGCAGATATTGGGGTAGATCACGACCGTCAGCAGAATTCGAATGGCTCTCTGAACTGGGTGACCTGCTCCGGAAGGTCACCGAGGGGCCCCTTCGCAACCTGGCTAGTGGCAACTAGTCCATCCAGTAGGTAGGTGCAAACCGGCCGACGCAAGGACGGGGACGGCGGTTTCACATCGGTTCATCGCGGCTGATCACTCGCAGTTTTCCCCCCTCGACCCCCTCCCATCTCTCCGCGAGTTACTCCCCCCGGCTCAGCGACGATGATCACTGATGGAAGAACCATTCGTCCGCCAGAATCGACAAAGCGCGAAAAAACCATCCTCAACGGGATAAAGAGAGACGAGCCCAACGTGGGGCACGCGGCCTCCGTCTGTGCCTCTGGCTCACGGCGATGCAAGTGTCACCTCGGGAGAATGGCGGCCCTACGCGACCGGGAGGCGACATTCATGTGCAGGACATGCGACACGGACAAGATGGCCAATCCTGTGGCCGCCTGTTGCATCAGCGGGCCGGACAGATGAGCGAGCGAGCGAGCGAGGCTTCGGCCTGGGGAAGAGTTCACAGGGGCGCGGGGGACGGAGTGGGCCTGGATGAACCCCCGGGTGCGTCGGGGGAGGTAGCTCTACACTGATCGGAGAAGAGAGAGAAACAGCTTTTGCCACTGAAGTCATCATCGGTGTGTCGTGGCATAGCCTCACCGTGAATAGGATTATGTAGCCGGTCGTTGCCTAACCATGTATGTAGACTTTGTACCCCAGGCTTGGCCCCCGGGAGGAGGGGAAGGTCGGCAGAGCTACCTCGCGAGGAAGTGGGAATTTCTATTAGATCATCCATGGTGGGTAAGCGGATTTGATAGGAAGATAGATACAGCGATTATCCTCGACATTTAGTAGAAGGGAACCATATCTGGAGAGATACAGAGATACAGTAGTATCTATCAAGATACATACAGACATACATACTCCGGTTAGGGGAAAGAGAAGGATCCACCGGCAGTGGTACCGGAGCCGGGCCGGGTTCCTTTCCGGTGGTTGGTTCGGGTTTGGCCATGAGAAACACATCGGGATTAGTATGGGGAAGAAAGAATGGGGGAGAGTGAAAGGCGAACAAGACATTCTGATCCAGTAGTTAGTTAGTATCATGGAATATGGGAAATGGGGAAGCGAACACGAGCTAACTAGCGAGCCATTCCCCAGACTCTCGGGCTGGCTGATTCGTCTTGATCGATCGATCGCGCTCTCTCTCTCTCCTTCCCTCTCTCTCTCTCTCTCTCTTTTTGCTCACTGCTTGGGTCGGCTCTTCACCTCAACGTTCCGGGGATAGCCAGAGCCAAGCCCTAACACACTTGTTCTAGAAGGCGGGAAGCAAGGAGCTGGAAATTGAGAGGTAGGCCGGATGGAGTAGTCGACCGGCTATCTATCCAGTTACTACTTACTACTCGTGGGTAGCAAAAGAAGGGTCCGGCTAACCGGCCAGGAACCGGATCAACGACCAAACCTTCTACATACTCACTCACCTTTTTTGCTTATCAGAATAAATCAAAGGGCATTATCACCGTCTGTGTAAAAACCAGTGATAATAATTATGAAAATGATGATCACCATACTTGGCCATATCGCCATCATTTCCCCAGAATTGCCAGCCCTGGCCCTAACCCTACTGCCTAGCATTGTTCCACGTGGAGGAAAGAGAAAAAGTCCGCGAAACGGCAATGCAACATTTTAACACTAAACACTATTCTTATTTCGTGCTTTTGGTTGTGTAGTGGTTATGGTTGGGATCAGTACTCCGGAGTATATAGCTAAATTGATGGCCCGGTGAAGGTTAACGGCCCTGTCCAGACTCCTGTCAGATGGGGGCCCGTTGTTGAGTCAAATCCTTGACAAAAGAGACCAACAATAATAAACAATAAAAACCTCCCTTCGCTTCCGCTGTCCATCCATTGATTCCATGATGGATTGGATAGATAATCAATTGAAACCATTTCTTCATTG